TATTAATAACTATTGAAATAAATATAAAATATTCTATAATGTAGTGATTCTGATTGTGTTTAGGCCAGCAGAGAAAGCTTTGCTGGCCCTGATGGCACTGTAAACTCAAAACAATAGTTCCTATTGTTACATACAGTATGTTTTACATTACAATATACAGTACATTCCTATAGGGCAGTTTCCAAATAATCCCCCCTCCCAACCACTTCACCCCTATTTGATCGTGTGTAGCACTGAATGAAAAAAAAAAAAGGAATGCCTGGCATGACAGACATGTTTTTGATCGGGCTCCCACATAAACACAAAGAAGTGCAGATTAAAGGCGTCATTTTTGCTCAACTAACCTTACATTTATTTTCCTCTCAGGACGTTGTTTGTGTATTTAAACCCATTTTCATTATAGTTTATTTTATTTCAGTTTATTTTTATCAGTGCCATTGTTCATAAAAGGTTGAGGAGTGAAATAAACTGCAATGGAGCTTGAAAACAAAATATCTTTGTGTCTGGTGTGTATAAACTGCTGATCCCAGCAGAAATGGTTTGTGAACCACTGCTCTAAGGAATGACAGACTTTTTTTGATAAATTATTAGTGTTTTCATAAGAGCCTAAAATGATCAAACACCACAAATAAATTGAGCATGATTTCCTTCCAAAATGATTCAAATAGAGTCATCTATGGGTTATTTTAACTTCAACTAAATATTATTCTTTAAGTGTAATAATTGCAAGGTTCTCAGACAAGTTTTCATTCTTCACATCATGAGCTGTGTAGCCCCCAGTGGAAAATAAACAAGTTGTTACAATCATATAATATGAAGGAGGAGGTGGGGATGTGTACAAACTGGGACGTGATGCTTCAAAGACTTTGCATCAAATGAATCTCAAACAGATTTTGGAAACAATAAACTGTCACACCTCAACACTCAATCCCAAACCGTTGGAGCAAAACCAAGACAATGCTCCTTACAGTAAATCCCAGATGCCTAAAACTTACCAGTTCATTGGCAATGTACACGCTTTAATGTGCTTTGTTCTGATTTTTATGTTAATATTATATTAAAAGATGGCTGGTCTCTAAATGTTACATGGAATAATTCAGTATTTTAGTCTGTTTTTCGAAAGAGCTGCTTTGACAAACGACGGTGCAAGTCTGTTATTTTACTGTGGTTTTTAAGGCAGGAGATGGCATGCTGGCTATGGAAATTATTTACTTTTTGTTTTATAATCAGTTGTATTTTTCTGCACAGCATTTTTGACTTAACCTTTACATCTTCTCTTCAGAAAGCTTTTTGCAGTACAGTTTTATCAAAAGGTCATTTTAGCTGAGTGTGGTTGTCTCGCAGGACTCCCACAGATTTAGGGTGAATCACAAAACATTCCTCTCTCCGCTCTCTTTCCTTTGCGCATTTTTTCTCTAATTTTATTTCACCTTACTTAGCAATTTTTTTAGTATCTTGTTCTGCAGATTAAAGATGCTCCTGCCTTGAGTCACAGCAGCTCAGTGACCATTATGTGCAAAGACCTTGACTGAGAGACATTTTATTGCAAAAGGATGGATTTTTGAGATATTGCAAACATTCCCAGGTGGTATAAGATTTCATATGGATGGAGTTCATTTTTCACATTTTTAAAGCTTTCCAAACCTCCAGCTGAGTTACATATTCATGATGCCAAACTATACCTTTGAGTCCCACACAACTCAAAGATTCAGTCTTTTAAAAGCAAATTTGGAAATCTTTAGAAGATTACACACATATGCTCCAAAGATCACACGTTTACATTTCTTTGTTTCCTTGATTACTTTATTATGTATTTTCAATTGTACTTATAACAACAGCTCAGAAATATGTGTAACGATTGAAGATCTGCTACCTTGGTTCTGTGATGTGAGTCAATCAGATCCCATTAACGGAACAAAGTCACTCTGTTTCTGTGATACTTGAACAACAAGAAGGAGAGTGTTTCAGATTTTGCAAAATAGCTGGTAGGAATGCAACAGTTTGTGTATTATATTTCTTTTTATTTTGTTAGGAAATGCTTTTTTAACACATAATTCAGCGGCGGCATGTACCAGCCCGACTAAAGTAATATTTTCTCAGTGCTATGTTTCAAAGGATGTGTTTACCTAACAACCACTCATTATGATGTGCAGCCAAAACTTTATGATTAAAATGTGGTTGGGATGATATCACCATGATAATTTATGAAATAATTTTAAATATAAAATAAGTTATTTTGCTATCCTATCAGTATTACGTAAGTTATGTGTTACCTGATTTAGTTTCAAGAATCTAATGTCCATTTTGGTATATTTATGGGCCAAAAAATGAAGACACAGCCAATTGAATGTATTTTCTTATAATGTATTTAATTAATGACAATATTTTCCACAGTCTTTATAAAGCTTTATCAAGTGATTAAATGTTTTTTTTTTCTTTTTAATTTGCCTCTTCCAGATATTAATGAATGTGAAAGGGATCCATGTAGAAATGGAGGCGTTTGCACTGATCTGGTTGCCAACTATTCCTGTGATTGTCCAGGAGAATACATGGGGAGGAATTGTCAGTACAGTAAGTAATATTTGTCTTTTTTTTCCCACAGTTTAATTATATCTCATTGCAGTTGTATGTATTATCCAGACAAATGTATAACATCTGTCTTTAACAGTACAAGACTGAGAACTAGTTGTGGGCTTGATGACAGCATTTTGTACTTATACAAAATGCCCCAATACTCAGAACCAATACCAATGCCAGTACTGACAATGGGATGCTGGTATTCAAGTTCAAGTTCAAGTTTATTTGTATAGCACCAAGTCACAACATATGTTGTCTCAGGGCACTGTACATAAAAAGAATAATCTAAAGAAGAAACCAGCAGGCTGCACTGAATCACTTCATTTGATACTTCAGTGGATGTTTTACAGTTTATATTTCAATAACAGTCAGTAACTTAGACTTTTTAGCTAGTTGAAAAAAAAAATATATATATATATTCTAAAAATTAAACAAAAGATAGGGAATAGCAGGCAACACTTTGTAAGTTCTTAGGATTTTTGTGGTTTATTTCTTTTGTTTGTTTATATTGTTTATATTATTAGTCTAAAAGCTCTAAAGGCATTCATTATTTTACAACATAATTATAGGGAAAGTCCCAGCCGCCAAAGCGTATATTATGATTAATATATCAGAAGACATGGAGTCGTGAGCTGCTGTCCCTGCATGGACACTCACAAATTAAATTATTGGATTTTCTATCTCAGGTGCACCACAGCTGCATCGAGAGAAATGCAATGAATAATTTTTAACATGCCAACACTGAAAAAGACAAGAAGAATTTATGGTAATATTCAAGGATAATGGCTGCTTTTACAAAGTGAATGCCAGAGATGTGACGGAGGGAAATAAAAAATAAATAAATCAAACTCTGATAAATATGTGTTGGACTAGTGATTGGAAGTTCCACTAGTAAACTCCATATGTGCACGGAGCATTATTCAGCAACTATTTAAGCACTTTTATTGTCAGGTTTGCGGTCCAGGCTGATTATTAGGATGACTTGTTTTTGGCTGTGTGTTTAAATACATCAGACCTGACGTGAAACAATGACCGCGAGGTGAAAGTGCTGACTCTCAGCGGTAATTGGGTGGTGTTTACACCTTCAGAAGATGAAGAGTCTAGAAAGTGTGTCCCATTTATACATATCCCAGAGGGGTACTGTGAGCAGGGCCACAAGTCCTTCACTGTTTAGCTAATATAAATGTCAACACTTCTAAACAACCCCGAAGCTAGGAGTAAGTGCTATAAAGAGCTTTCTGATGTCTGTGGAATTTTTTTATTTCAAATTTGGTGTGCTAAGGCAACACTCATGATCTGTACAGTATGTTTTCTGTGTAATAATCTGTTAACAAAATGGACACCACTATCTGTCAAAGAACAAAAAAATCACTAAAATAGAAAATTGTCAGATTAATTGATAAACCTCAATATTTTTTAAAAAAGTAATTTATCCTCTAATTTAAAAAAAAATCACCACCACTCCTTTGTGTAATGAGACATCAGGACCCTTCAGTGTAGATGATGAACTTGGACCACATAAAAGGAAACTCGCTTACTTTAATGCACATTTGAAGACCTTGCAAACTGCATTCATGTCCTGGTTTACTATCTATTAGGACTAAGCAATAAATCAATAACAATATATATCATGACAGACAGGTTATCAATATCAATAGCAAATATGTTCAATAGAATTTCTCTGAACTTCAATCCAGAACCACACTGCATAGCATTTTCAGGGTCATAGGCCAGGCAACACTTTTGTGGTGATACATTGTTAAGCCATTTCACCCAGCCCGATTATCTTTGTTGAAGTGGGGGTCACTATCCAATGTGAAGGCATCACTGAGAAATACCACAAACAGTAAAGACTTTTACTCAAATTAAAGAGGTGTTTTCTGGATTAGGCTTTTTCTTACCTGAGTGCTCATCAAAAGCAAAAACTGAGTTGCTTTCTTCATGTTGTCATTTAGTGGAGAACTTTTTTTTTCTCCAATAGTGATTGATGGGAGATCACTGACAGGTTTGAAGCAGAATATCCCCGAGGCATCAGTCTTCAGGCCAAAAGTACACCAGGCTGGTCTCGCTCCAAACAAATCAAATACTCATCTTTTGTTTACAGTCTTTTTGTATGACAAGTCAGTGCAGTGGAAGACCTTTAAATTTACTGCTCAACTTGACAAATGGACTAAAACTGTCACTATGAATGTTCCTGGTGGTCACCGTGAAGCTGTCTACATCAAAATCAAGTCATTTAATTGTAATGCTTCTAGTTTTTGTCTTTATAAAATGAGTTGTGGCTCATATGGAGGAGGGAACTCAGTTCCCACATACCATGTATGTTACTCATAAAAAGGTCCACATGGAGAATAAATTAAGTCAGGGCAGCTGCTTTTGTTTGTGTCTTCTTAAAAGTTTTGTTTCTGATTACAGACTCATAGTCATTCTATTATGTTCATGTGCAACACACTTTATACTACCACAGTTTGTTTATTTGCTCAAAATGAATTAAACCGTAATTTTCTTTAAAGCAAAGAATTTGATTTTGCTTGATGTGGCTGTGAAGAAAACTTTTCTTTGAGATGGAAGAAAGGTCTTGACAAAGTTTGATGCCTTATTTTGACAATGGTTTGGGTAATTTAGGACATCTGTCAGCTGCTCTAGATGATTGTGACATTACTTACTTTTTTATATGAAAGGGTCTGACTTCTACAAACAGTGATATAAATTTGGGCCGGCATTTTTAAATCTTTTACAATAAAGAATCAAAAAGGGGAAAATGGTAATACAATTTTTACTATTGCTCTTTTGAAAAGCCGTTCTCTTTAACAAGGCTGCTTTATGGGTTATTTGTTTATATAAAGCTGTTTTACTGAATAGGATGCAGCTGAAGAATGTTTCCAGATGTAGTTCATTAAGAGTTTCAGAATGACGATTGTTGTTACTCACGATGTTTAGGGACTCAGTATTATTAAAAGTATAAACCTGGTTAAAGCAAAGCTCTGATTTCTTTTGTTATTTAATTTAATTTTTTCTGAAGTACTGCAGACGAGGGAACAAGTGATAAGTTATCAGCCTCCAGCATACTGTGGTTAGGAGGCAGGTTTTTATACAATTTAACATGATTTGACAACTGTAGCATGGCTGTTGGTTTGCCAGAGGTCGACACACTATTTTTTTTCCCGTAGTAACACATTACCATTGGCAGCCTGCGGTGGCAATTCAACAGCTCTAACAGGGTAGCTTTCAATGTTTCTGGCCACTGTCACAGCTTTGTTGTTGGTTTTAGGCTTGGCTTCACTGTAATACTGTCAGCAGTGTATTCTGGAATCTAGCAGGAGCTACTGCCATTTGGGGAGGGGGTCCTGAAGAAGGGCGGGCCACCAGGTGCGGTCCTGGGCTGTGGGTGGGCTCGGGGCTTGGACAGTTGCCGGGGGCGGGGCTGGCTCTCCATCCTCCCTGGTGCTGCTTGGTCTCCTGAGGTGTGGCTCTTGGTTCSTGTGGGTGGCCCCCTGGCCGGGGTGGCTGCCGGGTTCTGTGGGGTGGATGGCTGGGGCTGTGCACTTGGTCGTTGGCGGTGTGGTGGGGTGGTCATGGGTGTGGCTTCTCTGCGGCGGGGGGCTGGCCAGGCGTCCTGGTGCGGCCCAGGTCAGGCCTTGGCTATCTGCTCCTCTCCACCTCAGAATGATTGGTTCTACCTCCTTGGTTTGGGTGTGTGCTGCCTCCAATAGGGGGTGGGTGCATGTCCTGGACCTGGGGGGTATAGAGTGTGTATCGGGGGTATGAGTGGAATGTGGCGTCCTTGTATGTCTTTGATTGAGTGAGAGTGAGGATGAGGGTGGGATGGTGTGATTGTGTATGTTAGGGTATTTGTCAGGCTGTGGTCTGGGCTGCCCCTCTTGCTGGTTTATCTGGGGGCCCGCTGCTACTCAGCCCCCTGGTAAGGTGTGTGGCTGGCCGCCGGCGTGCTGGGGGTTCCTGGGGTCTGGGGCTGGGCGCTGGGGTCTGTGCCGGCCTGACCTGGTGACTGCCTGCTGGGGCTCGGGACCTCTGGACCTGTCGGGCTTTGGCCTGGGGGGGGTGGGGTGCGCCCTGGGGGCCCGGACCTTTGTGCCCTTTCCTGGATCTGCTCTGGAATGGCGGGTGCCGGTGGGGCCCATGAGTTTGTCGCTGCTGGCCCTGGGGGCTGTGCGTGTGGTCGCTGGGGGGACTCTCCCAGTTCTCCCCTATGATCTGATCTTGGGGGTGGGTGGGCAGATCTTCCTGTGCGGGTGCCCCTTGGGGCTCTGCGCTCGGGATCCCTCCTGGGCCCTTGGGCTCTGGTCTTCTCTGTCTGCCTCGTGTCTTGGGGGTTGGGTCTCCGATCCTCCACAGTCACTATTAAATATTCCATTGGAGAAATCTTGTATATACACGCATGTTCACAACTGCTCACANGTCATTTTTGCTCAACTAACCTTACATTTATTTTCCTCTCAGGACGTTGTTTGTGTATTTAAACCCATTTTCATTATAGTTTATTTTATTTCAGTTTATTTTTATCAGTGCCATTGTTCATAAAAGGTTGAGGAGTGAAATAAACTGCAATGGAGCTTGAAAACAAAATATCTTTGTGTCTGGTGTGTATAAACTGCTGATCCCAGCAGAAATGGTTTGTGAACCACTGCTCTAAGGAATGACAGACTTTTTTTGATAAATTATTAGTGTTTTCATAAGAGCCTAAAATGATCAAACACCACAAATAAATTGAGCATGATTTCCTTCCAAAATGATTCAAATAGAGTCATCTATGGGTTATTTTAACTTCAACTAAATATTATTCTTTAAGTGTAATAATTGCAAGGTTCTCAGACAAGTTTTCATTCTTCACATCATGAGCTGTGTAGCCCCCAGTGGAAAATAAACAAGTTGTTACAATCATATAATATGAAGGAGGAGGTGGGGATGTGTACAAACTGGGACGTGATGCTTCAAAGACTTTGCATCAAATGAATCTCAAACAGATTTTGGAA